AGTACATGCATATGTCAATGCAAAGTACATAGAAAGCATTTTCTATATCCTCCTCAGAGCTACAAGAAAATTCATTGAGAGATAGATTAAATATTCTAAAATGGTAACCTAACCGATATCAGCTTTTCATCTTACCCACTATAAACGCTAATATTTTCTCAGCTCAATCGAATATATATATATACATCATTGAATATTTTGAACTTGCATTAAATTGCTCAAAACAGAAAGAATTCAACAACTGTTTACACGATACTACCAATCATTCGAAATCTACTAGATGTTCCGAATGGCTTCCTGAAGTGCTCTATCTTGGGAACTCACCTGTTTTACAATTATCTGCGATATTTTTGTGAAGGAAAAGCTAGAGACATGTACAACAGAATCGACATTTTGGTCAAAAACAGTCCCAGGTGTTAATTAAACTGAAATCAAAAACTTTAAAGCAACACTATAAATATTCGATAGTAATAAATACTCTTAGGTTAGGTCAGGCGGCATTGTGCTTAAAACCCTCTTATGCTCAAATAATGGCCCATTGTAGTATCACAAGATTAGTGTTTGTACATTCGCAGACTAGAGGTCAGCATTTAAGCAACGCTGAAGGTGCGATGCGTAAAGATGAATTAACCTGACAATTCTATATACTTGACTAAATCATTAATTTTGCAACGTGACATCTCGGTTAAGTGGGTAACAAAAAAAGGTCTTGAAGATTTTGAATTTTCTTCCAATCAAAGATGGACACTCATACATGAGCTGGATCACAGGTTCCTCCTCAGCTGGGGTACCACAACTTCGAGAAAAATCTTTATGTGGAAGATCCAGTTTTATAGCATGTCTTCCTATCACGCAGTGACCCGTCACTGCCACCGATACTATAGTGTCCACTATAGTGGTGAGTTTTTTGTCCAGATCAGTCTAAAAATCTGGCAACGGGATTAGTTTGCCTAATTTTGAGTGGCAATCCTCAAATATTTTTGTTTGATTGCCAGTAAATATTCAATATCATCAATCAATAATAATTATGTCATACGCTATGATCGTAACTAGAGTAAAGTAGTATAACTATATCTTATCTATAATTATAAATTGACATAGGACATAGAACATAGGACATTGACATAATTTACATTGCTTCACAATGATTCCACCGATATGCTTATTAGATATGAGACCACCATCTCGTGTACAAAGATTTATATACAAATGCTTTTGGAAAATTAATTAATTACTAGAACTTATTACTGCAATAGCAATGTTGTACACATTTAATTGGTGTTCTATTATTACTAAATCCACTATATCCACTTATCCGCTATATCTTATATCTTAATCAATTTTAGAAATAAAAAAAATGGAATTTATGAACAAAGATGATTTCACTAACTGTCAGTTAATTACTAATTCTAAAATATTTCTGAGCTTTTAGACTAGAACATATTCCCTTAAATACTTTTTACCCTTTAGATATTCTAATTATATGCAAATTCAACTTTTTATATTTATTCAAATCATGTTATACTCGTATTTCTTACTTGTTTTGTTTTATATTATATATAATATATATTTGTTTGTTTATTAGTTCCTAATTAAAATTTAAAAAAAAACAATAGAATGAACTTATTTTTAACAAAACAAACTGAACAAATAACGAATGAGAAAGTCACTTAAAACTCCTACACACAATAACATTTCAAAAATACTTTTCAATACAAAATAAATTGCGTATCTAAAATTGATAATTGAAATACAAATCTTCTCTAAGATGTAAATTACTATAAACAA